GGGCCCCTGGTGCTGGCCACTGTCGGCAGACAGGCTACTGGGCTAGATGGACCTTTGGTCTGACCCAGTCCGGCCGTTCCTATGTTCTTATGTCCGAGAGCAGGCACTGGCGCGCTCTCGAGCACGATGGCCATTGGGGGTGCAGCCTAAGCGTGTGCCTGCCTTGCAGGGCAATACAAGGAGGATCCATGTTTCATCTGACCAAGGAGACACCTGGAACATGGCCCAGCTTCCCTCTGTGGGCCAGGAGCAGTTCTTCTCCATCCTGGCAGCTAACGAGGACATGGTGTTCATGCACGTGGATGACCCTGGAGGTGAGTGTCAGAGAAGAGGCGGGTGGGTGTCGATCAGCAGCCTGAATAGATCCCCAGTTCGGTTCCAGAGCTTCGGCTGGCTGGAGCGGACTGGACGTCTCTCTGCTCCGGGGAACGCTGTAGCCCAGATGTGCAAAGCGCGGCTCCCCGGCCCACGTCCTCGGAGTGCAGCAGCCTCCCTCGCTCTGCACAGACTTCCTGCCTCGTACTGCCGCGGCACCTTCCGTGGAGGGAGACAGTAGCTTTCGCCTGTGGCTGTGGGAGCACCACGTCCGCTGACAGCCTGCTTGCAGGGCCCGGGAGCTGGGAGGGCAAGCGATGGCTTTGGATGTTGATGTGGTACCCACAGCGTTTCGGCTGCCTAAGCTCAGGTCCACGCGGTACGTTAGTTCCCCAGGAGCCGTGGTGTCCAATCGGTTCTGCCATAGCCACACTCAACTGGGCAAATAGCCACATGTGGCTCGTGGCTAGTGTGCTGGACACCACGGCCCTAGAAGCATTAGCCCCTGTCTCTGCCAAATGGTTCACTGCAGCACTTAGGGCCTTTGACTCTTGTGGTCCTAAATCCAGCCTCCTGTGCTGAAGAGTCTCCATCAGTCTCCGTCCTTGCTTCTGCACTTGCTCATGGTCTGGAAGGAGAAGAGCAGCTTGGGATGGTGGAAAGACCGATGCCCTTGGGTTGAAATTCCCCGGTGCGGTCTAGGAGCAGGACCAGGGCAGTCCAGCTAGGTGCCGTTGGCTGTCGGAGTGCGTGGCGGGAACGTAGGCTTGCCTCGTGCGGAGTGAGACGAGGGCCTGCCTTGCCAGGCACGCCTGTGCTTGCGGAGTGCTCGGAAGCCTCTCGGAGGCTTTCCCAGGAGTAGCTGATCTCTCCAGTCTTCACTGAAATATTCTGCTGGGGAACTTTCTCTCCAATGTCCGGGGTTGTTGGGGGCTTGCCCCTTGTCGGGCCTGGGCCTTCGTGGCCTTCCTTTCTGGTGTCTGGACTAGCCGCCCAATCCAGCTCCCAGTGCTCCTGTCCCCAGTTCTGGAGAGAGCCACGTCCGGCTGCGGAGGGGACCCCTCAGTGCCCCCTGAATGCCTAGCTGCTCCCCCAGGCCATAGCGCTGTGTCCCCTGAAGTTGCCTCTCAGATACGTGGAAACACTTATGTTCTCCCCCAAATCCCTCCCCAGCCAAAGCACTAGGCTTCCGGAGCAGCAGAGTCTAGTTTCTCGGCTGCATGGTTCGAGAGTTAGTGACCACCCAGAATCACACCAAGTGTAACCCGCCCTTCTGTGCCGCTGTCTGGCTTCGGCCATGCCAGGAAAGCTGTCCCCAGCCCCCAGGCATGCCTGGGACGTTTCAGTTGCACTGGGTTTGGCTTGGAAAGGTAGGAGTTTGGGATCTGTACTGGACGTTGGATGGGAGACCTTCACTCCGGTGTCGGGCTGTCCTCCCCGCCTGGCTTCTCTCCCTTGTGCAAATGAGGAACCGAAGCCAGAGACAAGTGATGTGCTCATGGGGCCACACCCTCGGGTCTGTGGTCGAGCCCACGGGGCCGGTTTGACACACTCACTGCTGGGCCTCACCCTGGCAAAGCCGGGGACGCCAGCGCTGTCTCCACACCCAGCTGTAAGGGGAAGCAAAGAATTCGGCAGCCGGCACCATCGTGCCACGTGAGCTCTGGAGTTGGAGCCATTTTTGCTTCTCCTCTGGGACTTGCTGCTTCTCTCTGCCCTGCCACCCGGCAGGCAAACCAGGGTGAACTGGCTGGGGTGGCGCCGTGTCAGGGCTGCTGTGGCTCTGGCGTGTGGAGGCTTGAAGCTGGGTGTGACAGGACACGTCCCTGACCTGGTAACTTTCCCAGTCGCTCTGGAGGCTCTGTCTGACTGCTCCGCAGGGCAGTCTGTCCAGAGCTCTCTAGTCCGTCTGTCCTGCAGATACGGGCTGCGGCACAGTCTACACGTCGGACGATCGAGGCCTCATCTACTCCAAGTCCCTCGAGCGGCATCTCTACACTGGCGTTGGGAGTGAAACAGACTTCACCAACGTGACCTCGCTGCGGGGGGTCTTCATCACCAGCGTGCTCTCCAAAGGCAAGCGCTCGCCCTGGGCATGGGCGGCAACCAAGGCAGAGCCTCTCTTCTGGATGCCCCTCCCTGTTCGAGTGGAGGGAGGCACCGGGGCTTGGGGCTGGGAATGGAGTGTGGGAGGGGCTGCCAGAGATCGAGATTTCAGTCCTGCAGCAGGTTCCGGGATCGGGGTTTCAGCCCTTGGCCCTGAAAGGGCCGATTCCCTGCTCCCCCCTTGAGAAACCTGCTTTGGGGGTGCACATGGGCAGGGGCACACAGGCTACATCTCCTCCTATGGGCTTTCTGCCTCTGTGCCCTGCCTGAGAGCGCCACCTGCTGGCCATCACCTGCAGCCACAAACAGGAGGCTGCTGGCTGTGCTGACCACAAAAATACAGGACAGTTTGCCCGGCTTTTAAAAAAGATGACACAGGCAAGAATGCTAATCAGGGCCTGTCTCTTTACAGCCGGGACAGGTGGCCGCCCTGCCTGTGTCTCCGCTGTCCTTCGTCGGCCCCTGACTGAGTCCAGCCCTTACGCTGCCTGGCAAGCATGCAGTCCTTGCTCGTGTCTGTAGCCCCCTGGGGGTGGGCCCCATTGATGCTGGTGGGGCGGCTCACAGGAGCAAAGTTGGGGCTGGCTGGAGCACAGAACAGCTTTCACTCCAGGCCCTGCTACAGCCGGGCTGTCTGGCTCAGGGAGGCGGGGGCTGGCCAGACTGGGGCCCCCGTCCCCCCGTATTGCTGTGTGCAGAGGGCGGGCTGAGGGGGTACAAAAACCCGAGGGTTTCACCCCACGTTTCTCCCTCCCGCCAGACCGCGCCATCCAGTCAGTGATCACGTTCGACAGAGGCGGCAAGTGGCAGCCCCTGAGGACGCCCGTGGATGCGCCGTGCAACGCCACGAAGGACGCGGCGGAGGTGTGTGTGTCGGCCTCTCCGAGAGCAGGGCAGCCAGGCTAGGGGCCGGGGCCCCACCGCGAGTGTTTGCTCTTCACGACTGCCGTCTTCCCGTGGGAGTCCAGGGGCCTGCTCCCTTGGCCACGCGTGGCCCCACAGCACGAGTGGTGACCGCTCAGTGTGTTGGCACCCGGCAGGGTGGGCGAGGTGCTTTGCGTGGGGGTGTCGCTGCCTTCCCTGCGGGCTGGGCTGGGCCTTGCACAAGGAGAGGCCACGCTGCCTTGCTAGGCGAGGGATGGGCGCGGTGCTCCACAGAGGCTGGGAGCACCGGTGTCTGATCACAGAGCATGTGCAGGAGGGTCAGGCCCGGGTCTCTCAGTGTGTTGGCACCCGGCAGGGTGGGCGAGGTGCTTTGCGTGGGGGTGTCGCTGCCTTCCCTGCGGGCTGGGCTGGGCCTTGCACAAGGAGAGGCCACGCTGCCTTGCTAGGCGAGGGATGGGCGCGGTGCTCCACAGAGGCTGGGAGCACCGGTGTCTGATCACAGAGCATGTGCAGGAGGGTCAGGCCCGGGTCTC